AGAAAAGGGAAGAAAACTGATGTCAAATGGATATGCATTCTAATTCATCCTGATTTGGTTATTTGATTAGATTTGAGTAATAATTTGATATGCATAAAATATCTTTGCACTTTTTTATACTTGTTGCATAATTCAATATGAAAAATAGCAGCAGATAACCTAGTGGGGAAAAATTAGATCTGTACATAATGAGAATATTTTGATTATGTACATATGTTTCTTTTACTTACTGGGTGGATATTTACATATATTATACATAGAAAATGGTGCTACAATACAATTTGGCTGTCTTAATCATCACATGAAAATACTAAAAACTTTAACTGCAGCCACTAATGAGAATAGTTAAATTTTACTCAAATTTCACTGAAACAATGGCTGTAACTCCAATAACCATTTTGTTAAACCACACTTTTACTTGATATGAACATTAAATTAAAACCAAATCACAGGAGGCTTTGATTGCTACTACATGCGTGTTCTGTAAGTAAGGTATACTCTATCATTTCTTTATTGTTACTTTCATTAACAATACTGATTAAAATGTTAATATGTCTAATTTTATTACTTTTAATTTTTAATATTCTGCTTTTATTATAGCTTGTTTCACAATGTCAAGTTAATATATATATTTAGGACTAACCTAACCTTATAAACTGGCCAAACCTCATAAGTTTATGGCTGAAAATATTATTAACAGTGATGTTATCCAGCTGATGAAACAATGCATTCCAAACAATATAAGTAACAACACAAGAAATGTATATTTAATGAGCTATTATCATTACCTGGTTGATTTTTAGTTTCACTCCAAGTAGGTAGCTTACTCTTATCAGAAGTTAATATTAATGAGTGAAAAATATGTAAAAACATCTGCATTATATAAATATGAAACAGTTACAAAGGCACAACACAGAGATGGAGGTGTTAAGCTTTTCAACAGATATTGATTTAGATCAAACAAATTCCAACATTTTAGTTGCTGATATTTACAGGATATATCTACATACCGAATATCATCTTTATATTTGTCTGAGTTCACCACACTAGTTCGAAGAGCAAGCTCAAGAAGTGACTCTAAACGGGTTGGCATAATATCATCAATATCTTTGACCAGCTCTTCCTCAGCCATATCCAGAAACTGAACAATAAAATCTCCTTGGTCCATCAGAAAGTAGTGTTTTACAGACCTGGTTTTGAAAACAGCATGAATTTAAACACTTTACAAAAATCTCAACAAAACTAAGACATACTGAATTGTATGTAATCAATGGTAACAGTGTTTCAGCGTATTTTTGTTAGACTTTTTGAAAATCATCAAAAATGTCAGCACCAAACACGAGGCAAATCTAGTCTGAAAAAAACTCTACTAAAACTGTATTACCTCAGAAGATATCCTGAACAATTATAAACCTTTTCAAGCATGGTTACCTCTAAGAAAATAATGCAACTCCAATATTCAAATTTTAAAGTCCACATGCTATAAACAATTTACTATACAGAAATTTGATACAACAATCAACAAAAAAACATTAGTTTTTCATACAAGTTTATAACTTGAAAGAAATTTATACCACTGTCTACTGATGCATAAGATGAGACATGATGTCATGCTCAGAAATGTTCTTACTATTTGATATCTTTCCTTAAATATTATGTTTTTTTATCATCATAAGGCACTTCTGTATTCCTTCTCCACTCACTTGGACATGAAGAAGCAACACACAAGTGTCTCAAATTGCCGTCAACATATCTTGTTCAAGGTAAGATGTCCGAAAGTAAAAACCTTCTTGATTAGGCACTCTTGCTAAATATGCCTCTCAAACGGCTTATGGTGTAATGGTTATCTTCAGGTGAAAGGTACATCAACAATAATATATATATATATACCAACTTAAAGAGCATGAAGAAAAATGATGAAATCATAAATTTATGCTATATATGTGATATTCACTCAAGGATCTCCTTTTCTTTTTTTAAATTCTCAGTTACCTGAGGACAATGAATTTGAAATAATTAAGTTGCCAGCAATAAGGACATACTTGTTCAAACTTTCCTAAATATAAACAGAGCTCAGAATTGTTTGGGTTACTTGAGTTCCTCTTTTGCATCTTACCTATTTTTGTTAGTAATCTTTTATTAATATGAATCTATACCTTTTACACTGGATAAAAATAATGTTCATAATTAAATTTGACATACTTATTATAACTGGGAAGAAAATATACCATTGATTTTTGACTGCACAATGCATCACATACGTAGGGTAATTCATAATCTAAAGAGAGTATGTATAATTAGGAATTGAAATAACTACCAAATGAAGTAAGTTTGTGCTGTTGTTTTTTTTAGGTATGCTATGTAAACATTAAAAAAAAGTGAAAATTTTACATAATAACTAAATATGAACAACCAAAGCTAAAAGTTATGGTTAGTGTTTTTCAAAATAAATGTTGCATACATTTTGGTACAATAGAAAATCATATTAGTTCTAAACATTGTCTAATTCAAATTCATAAAATGAAGACTGTACTTCAGATATTATTATTATTATTAAATGTTGCATACATTTTGGTACAATAGAAAATCATATTAGTTCTAAACATTGTCTAATTCAAATTCATAAAATGAAGACTGTACTTCAGATATTATTATTATTATTAAATGTTGCATACATTTTGGTACAATAGAAAATCATATTAGTTCTAAACATTGTCTAATTCAAATTCATAAAATGAAGACTGTACTTCAGATATTATTATTATTATTAAATGTTGCATACATTTTGGTACAATAGAAAATCATATTAGTTCTAAACATTGTCTAATTCAAATTCATAAAATGAAGACTGTACTTCATATATTATTATATATGGCTTTCGCATACACATACACATTGGGATTTTAAACAATACTTAATAATATCAACATTATATCTCTTTCTTCAAATATTATTATGATTACAATTTTTCTAACATGATTTCATACAGACCAATGGGGAAGTAAACTGCTACAACAAAACTAAGACAAACTTGTACAATGGGGGTCCACTCTGTTCATTAATATAAACAATAATTTTTACTGTTGATCAAAATAATTAGTCAAAGTTTTCAGAGTTACTGGACTATTAAAGCCTCGTGGTTTTAAATCGTGTTATCTATTTAGACTATATATATTTCCTAAGTAACCCTTTAGGGGCTAAAATGATCCTATGAAACTCCAGGTGCAAATTTAATTTAAAAATATAAATGGCATCTATTTCAATAATTTTGAGCCATAAACTAGGGTACAAATGGTGTTAAAACATTTTATAAAAAAGATGAAAAAATGTCTGATCATTCATCATGTAATGTCTGGAGGGGGTGAAAGAACAACATACTATGCATTTTATATGTTTTTCTCTTCCTTATTGCTTCCATAGTTTACTCTTGTACTTGCCAAACAACTATGTAGAATTACAAAGAAAATTACATATTACTGAAGCTTTTAGAAACTGAGCTATGATTATTTGGTTGAACTTGCATGTCTGTACCTCTACAGTCTTGACAAATAAGCTTATATTTCAGACTTGAAAATAGATATGCCTTCCAACTAAAAACCAATGACAAAGGGGAGATTCTTAACTCCAAAATGATGTAAGCAGCTTGCAAGTTATTTATAATGGAATTTTTCTACCTCTATTAAGTTCTCAAGTAATAACGAGTATAAAGGCCACACCTGAAAGATGACTGCAATGTTTTTATAATCACAGACCTCTAAATCTTTTAATACTTTCTGAAGATGTTTTCTCATTGATGATAATGTAGTTAAATTATTTCCTTTTGATATCTACAGAAATATTTCTCTAGAACAAAAATTCAAGTAAGGATATCTGGGGTTGTCAAGTAAATAAGCCTAAAGAGTTCTGCAACAATGTTTGATTATATGCCATTACCAATCGTGTGGTACTTATGTAATTTATAATCAGGTTTTGTTATTGTTTCAGTTAGAAAAAAAAAGTTAATGAATATAAAACAAATCAAAATTGGTTGTATATATGAGGTACGACTTTTTAATCACAAACAAATAAGTAAATTATATGTTTACATATTTCCTTCATATTTTGTATGCTGTTATGGGAATAAAATCAGACAAAAAACTAACTTACTAAAACACTGGACACTTCTTTCAGATTTTAGGCTAATAACATAAAGATGAGAAACCTAAGACAAAAGGAAGTATTGTTATTTTTTTTTTTTTTTTATTAAGAACTGTTTTATAGTGAGCTTTCATGAAATTCAGATGCCAAAAAGTTATACAAATACTAAATATAATTAAACGATTTATTTTACATATAAACTATGTATTCTTTAAAATATTTGTAAGGTTTTGGGCACTTTCATTCTGTAATTTGTTTGTTTAAGGGATACAATAAAATAAAATTTATACTCACCTTAAGCGACCCATTAAGTCTGATCCTTCCATCAGCAGGTCCAATAACTTTTTACTTGCAAATTTATAAGCCGTCTCAATCTTTTCCACATACTGTCTTTCTGTGACCGTGTACACGATATGCTCAGCATCAGGAAACTTTATGTCATTTCCTACAAGAAAAAGAGACTTCTGAAAACCAACAGTAAATGTCTTAAAAACTTAACATTATAAATATTTAGTGGATAAGATACAAAACAGTTCCCAACTCTAATAAGCACATAGTAATACGGCAGCTGATCCACACTGTCTCAAGAATTAGAAATATGTATTGGGGATAAGCTGAGAACCATATATAAGATTCACCTAATCCTAATAATGACTGTGATTTAAACAACTTAGCAAATAGTGGTATGTCATGTGAATAGCCCTGACAAATAAACAAAAACCAACATAAAATTCTAAACTGTCTTTTAACAAACCAAAGACAAAGTATTTATATACATGCTGTCCAAAGCAAACGATTAGCAGTCAAAGACAATGCAATAAATGTTTGTAAAAACTTAAAACATTTATAACTCTCCAACTACTAAGTAATTTTTAAATACTGATGAATTTACCACACTGACGAATCACATTCAGGTATTTCCCAGTCCGTAATATCATATCAGCTATCCTTCCAAGAAAAGTGGGAATCCTTTCCCTTCTAATAGTATAGCGTTTTTCCCAGTAACTGTAGCAGCGATGAAGGATAACAACCTTTCTTGTCCTTGTATCTCATTTCCAAAGCCAATTATGTTATGATACATTTTATAGTTTACTCAAATATCAAGACACTTCTTGCACAATATCATTAACAGTTATTTGAGGTCTAATAAGCATTTTAGTAATATTTTACCTTTGTATGAGTAGACAAGTGTATCAAAATGTCTACACATATAACAGAAAACTCATTTTCAAAATATAAAAGTGGCAGCAACTTTTCAGTAAAACAAAAACTGTCACACTATACATTCTTTTTTAAAATACTGCATAACTTAAAATTATTTTGAATATTATAATATGCATAGCCATACATACTTTGTTGTTGCTGAACCATCTTTTCTATTGCTATTCTGGTATAAATCTTTAATTTTATGTCTTGTTCTTAAGAATCTACATTTTTTCATGATAATATATTTGTATGCTTGGTGTTTACAACTCGTTCATTTTCCTGGATAGTTAATTTAAGCAATGAATCTCTATTGTTGTTGTTTTGTGTAAAGTTGTTGTTTAGGCCAATGTTTAAAATAAGCCTAGGTTTTAATTGCATAATTTATGGCTGTTAGGACTAGTAGAACATAAACAGGTTGGTGAAAATCAGCCAAATACACTCAATGAAAGAAAACTCATTTGACAACTTTCATCACAAAAAACTCAAGTGGCCTCACTATTTTTAAATCAGTGAAGTGTTCTTATGTTGAATTAGCTACTCCTGTTTAGTGACTGACCCTGGCTACTAATTCTAATTTCTGTAAGAATATAGTACCCTCCGACTTATGTTTTGGTCTGTTTATTTCTGCAGTAATGGCTTGCTAAATTTTCATAGCTTTTTAATGTTAGATAGTGTCAAACAATTTTGTATTGGCACTTCTCAATTCTGTATAGCATATTTATTTAAGAATGAAACCAAGCAAGCTAAAAAAAAAAGGTTTAAACATCTCGAGTCCAATGCTGGGCACTAAAGGTCCACTGCGATGTCTGGGTGAAGATTATGAACATGATTATTGTGTTTCTTTTGTGGAACTAAATCCAAACTAATTATCTTGTTTATATTTTCAAGAAAGGTTCCTACTATAGCTGCAATGAGCTACTGTGTTCTTTGGTTACTTCTGGTGACAACCTATTCAACTTTCTCCACAACCTCTGCCATGTGACTGGTAGCCAGATTCAGAGTAGTAGCCTGATTTTGTTTTGTTGGAATCATACCTTACTGTGCTTTACCAATATGATTCAACACTAAAGATATCACTTTCCTTAAAATACTAACATTTTGTGCCTTGTAAGTTTTTATAACCATAGAATAAGACAACTTTACATTGGAAAGTCCCATAATGTAAGGGTCAAATCACCATACTTCAACTTAACTGGAATAAGTCACAGCTTTTAACCTGCAGGCCATGAGGATAGCCATGATCAATGTGATTGGATATGCAAATTGTTATCATAGATTGTGAATAATATTCTATAGCAAACATCTCAGAAAATAATAATTTGCTTTTAAAAACCTAACAGCAACTCTTCAGAAGTAACACGATGGCACACATTATAAGTAAAGAGGCAGCACACATAAGTTTTGAGATAGCTAACATTATAAGTAGTGAGATAACACACATTATACATAACAAGACAACATGCATTACAAGTAAAGGGATAGCACACATTATAAGTTATGAAATAGCTCACGTTATATGTAGTGAGATACCACACATTATAAGTTATGAGATAGCTCATGTTATATGTAGTGAGATACTACACATTATAAGTTATGAGATAGCTCATGTTATATGTAGTGAGATACCACACATTATAAGTTATGAGATAGCTCATGTTATATGTAGTGAGATACTACACATTATAAGTTATGAGATAGCTCATGTTATATGTAGCAAGATACCACACATTATAAGTAACAAGACAGCATGCATTACAAGTAAAGAGATAGTACACATTATAAGTTATGAGCTACCGTACATTACAGATAATGACATAGCACAACTGAGAAATTGGAAATGACAGTTAGTTTTACAAATCCTTAAATCAAGCACAGAAAAACTGTTCTAAAATTTTTAACAAGATCAATTATTTTTTGTTGGAAGACTACTAATTAGTCAACCACTTTTGATTTTTAACAGGCCCCTCATGAGCCAGTGGGGGAACATTTTTGTTGAAAAAAACAAACTACCCAATCCAGTTTTTCTTAATTTGAACTGAAATGTTCTGGACATTTTTACTGGCTAAAAATAAGGCATTTTCTGCACTTTTTTAGCATTGGAGCTGCAAAAAGTGATTTGAAGTGGTAAGGTGACTGAAATCTTTCAGCACATCAAGAACTTAACAGCCAAGCACAAGAAGCATGGGTAATGACACGCAGATGTATTAAGGAAACATTTAGAACCACCTTGGTTGATATTGTGCATCAAGCCAAGTACAGTATTATGCCTGCAGCTGCTTTCAAAATGTTCCTGTCTGCTCATCGTACTGCTGACTATAGTGATGCTTCGACCTTCCCTACCAACTTGTAGGTGAAATCGTTCGTATCTCAACTGAAAGCTAAACATAAAAAAGGTGATAGCAGGATCATAAAAGATTGGCAATTGCTTAATTAATGATGCTGATAATGTGGCTTATTGATATATACTGTTTTCGTTTGTTAATTGATAAATTTTAAAGTGAAATACAGCATCCTCAAGTCTCAATATTGGCTAGTATTAAGGTCTACCTGCTGGGAGTAAATTCTTGTCTCAAAAAGATACGTCCAAAACCACCCTCTTTGGGAGTTTCCGGATTGAACTTACTTTTAATATTAAAAGACACCCCTTGGCTCCTGAGGTACATGTTAAAATATATTTTTATTTATGTCAAAATATTTGTCACATATAGAAGAAAAAAAATCCATAATGTTCTCTGAAATTAATCCATGACTCGTCTAATACACTTTGTATTATTTTATTATTATTAACAGAGATGTTTTCTAACACATTAGTAGTAATCTTTATGAAATTGTGTTTAAAAATTTACAAAAGACAAGTGTTAGTCACCTAAGTGTTGTTTAGGTCCAATGCAGTATATATGAATATATATATATGGATATTAACATTTAATGTATAACTTTAAAATCTGATAAAAAAGATACTATTGTTTTATATAAATAAAAATCAACTGTAATCATATCACAAATATCAGTATTCATACATATTATTTAAGAAAACAGCTTAATAAGTGACAACAGCTTCAATTCACAATTGCAACTTTCAAAAAAGGATACTCGTCACTATAATCAACTGGCAGTTCTTCTTTTTTAACTAGTTCATTGTCTTCAACCAAGAACTAGAATAAATAAATTTTAACAAATATTAAAACATCTCTACTGTCTAATAGCACTTGAAATGTTTCCAAGATATCAAAAAAATGAATGTATTTACACAATAACTGCTTGTCAGTCTATCAATAATAAAAAATATGAGACCTTAAAAAATGATTTAAAACAATAAAAATTAAGTACTTGTAGCAACAGGTTGCATGTATATAAATACATAATTTAACCTTAAATAGGCTTGTTTGTATGTATTTAGACAAAGTTTAAAATAGAACAACACAAGAAAACAAAATACACAATTTAATTATCAGCTTTCCTAAGGAAAAAACCAGTGAATGAAACAGAAATATATGAAACAATTAAGTCATCCATCTAAGTTTGTTTTGATGAATTTTGTGTAAAACTACTCAGACTATCTGTTCTAGTTGTTCCTGATTTTGAAGCGATAAACTAGAAAGAATACAGTTAGTCAATATCACCCACCAACAACTCTTGGGCTACTTTTTACTCACAAATAGTGGAATTGACCATCACAATATAATACCCCCAAAGCTAAAAGGGCACATTTCAATCACTGACCTGCAGATAGAGAGTTGTACTTCCTAGCCACCAGGCTATGCCTGCCTCCACATCTAAGTATGACCAAAATGTAATACAGTAAAATATGCAAAGCACATGAAAGAAACAGTTAAAAATGTTGTTATAAATTATTTTAATGTAGAAAGGGACTGGGCTGTATTACTACTTTCAGTAAATAGGTATCACCAAGTTTTTCCTTAAGTCCTGGATTCAACTATCATATTGAATTTAAGAACATTATCTATTACCACCCAAATATATACTGCTGCATCCTCTTCAGAAAGCTGATGCTCTTGTTGATCCAACTTAATAAATGTACTTTGTATATCAAGAAGCCACTGCTTATTGTAATTGAAACTAAATCTGAACAAGAAAAATTTAGTGCTCCCTTCTTTATTGACAGTGTAGTATTAAATTCTGTCTGTATGATTGTGACAAACGAAACAGTTTAATTATTCCGAATTATAGTATGACTTCTAAAATGAACAGTAACAGGTTTAAACAAGCTGTCATTAGCACCAACTTGTTAGTTTCACCAATAGAAAAATGTAAGGCCTTTACATTTGAATGCTTTAATACTCGGGTCATCTTTATGAAGATTTTTCATAAACTTATAATAATGAAAAGTCTTAAAACATTAATTAACACACTTTTCAAGGGCCAACTGACAAGCTAAAAGAGCCAGCAATTTAATCAGTATAAATAATTAAACTACAATTGCTACCTATACTGATTTCAAACAATAGTTTGAAAACAATTAATTAGTGTTCACATTCTTATGTTTTTCTAATTTTCACAGATGCTATGATATTCTAAAAAAGCATACATAAAATTCACCTTTAATACTAATACCCAATAATAAATAGCATGTATAGTATTTAAAACAGACAATTAAATAAAATAATTGATACATGTAAAGAAGTTCTTAATTTATTTCATTTTCTCTGGACATATTTTTCATTGTCTTTATCTTTTCTCTTAAAGCATCATCAATAATATATACTTTATTCTGCTGTATTGTATATTATATCTCTAAAAAAATTTTAAAATTTCTTTAAGTTATTGTCTGGAATTTGCTAAATCAGTTGAGTTCATGTGTTAAATTTAGCCTGAAGTATTACTTTATCTTCTATTATTTTCTTGTTTGCTACTATTTGCATTGGTTTCTTTATCAGTGAAAATATATTAGTCAACTACTATGCCATTAATTTCTACTAGTTTAAACAACTGATTTAATTAGCTGTTTTAAATAAAATGCAATACATCATTACGTTTTAAGTACATTCAAATTTTTTAAAATATTTTGAGCACCTGCTACTTTTCACAATAGAAGACAAATGGTTCTACAATACTTGCTGAAAGTGTTAGAGAAATAATGGTTTACGTATTAAGTATGAAGTAATAATTTATAGATGTAAATATAAAGGTATTCCAATGATGAATGTCAAATAAAAATGTAAATGTTCGTTTGTTCAAAATCTTAAATCTCCGAAAGTTCTTCACCGATTGCTTTGAAATTTTGACACAACGTTGCATTCGAATATACGCGTCTTTTTATATACCTACTATTATATAAATGTCACACCTGTGACAGGTAAAAACATGCTTTTTCTGAAAAACAGCGCCCTCTGTTGGACGTAAAAGCAACACACGCTATACTAAATATTTTACGATTTCCAAATTTCCAATTTTACAATTCCATTTCAATGTTACCGATTGCATTATTAAATTGAATTTTCATAGATTTCGATTTATTTTCATTTTGTATTTAATTTATTTCG